CTCGGCTTCTATAGTAAACAGTATTTGGGTTATCTGATGTATTCTTTATGCTTATTCTTAATAAGACACCTGCACTTGCCTACATCTTAGTACAAATGTCCTCAGCATACCTGAAGTTCTATAAAGTACGGCGACTTCAGCCTCCCACTAATAACCAGAGATCTTATACTAAATCTACACATTGCATCACTCTTATTATCAAGAACAAATCTATTATTGCACCAATTATTTGCTAATGCAAATCAATCTCTTTACAATGGAAAATCCACAACAAATATTAATCATTCCATGCTACTGTTCTGATTGTTTTAAGGTCCTCCTGGGAATCTACTTAAGCTATCAATTCTTGCATTTTTCTTTCTGGTATAACTATTATTAGAAAATATAATATGTATTACAAGAATTTTTTTCTCCTCCATCTTTTTAAAGGTTTTACAAACTTCCGCAAAATATGAACAAGCAGAAATGTTTAGAAGATGTTAAGAGATAAAAGTGAGCTTTGTAAGGTTTTCCTTTTATGTTGAAAGCATTAAGAAGCTTCGGTTTCGATATCTCTTTATCTCTTGGGAAGCCTGGAAATTTAAGGCAAACATAGAAAAATTGAAGAAGTCTTATCCTTCCTATAGAAAACCTGCAAACAAGCTATACATGTAGCTATGACACTTCTTTAATATGGACACATTCTATTAGTATATTGGTATGGGAATCCTTAAAATAACAATTATTTTCCGACGTTTTTAAATAATTCTCCAGAAATCTAATGCAAACATATACATGCCAATGCTGCTTTTTAAAGAAACTTAATATATTAATAATACCAATATCTGTTTTTGCTCAAGAAGTTTACTATTGTTTGCAGCTAACTGTAAAGTTTCACGTCTCGTCACGATCTTTTTCGTCAGATGCATCCAGCGTAAACAATTCACATGATTGGTCAACTCAAATCATCAACATTGATACGGAAATAGTCTGTTGCACGAGCAACCAATCAGGAATAAGAAGAAAGTTCCAGTCGTAAAGCTTGCGGTTGGGAGGCGTGTACAATTTACCTTGAGTGCAGCTGTCAACTAGATCGTGACGTAACATGAAACTTTACAGTCAGCTGCAAACAATAGTATTAAACAAAAATGAATACTTTGATAAACATTTTTCAATCGATTTTTTTTCATTTCTTCTTTTAAATCCAGTTTTTTTTCCTTAAACTTTTATTAAAACCAGTTAAGAGTTATTCTAGAATAAAACTTAAGAAAACAAATCTGTAAAGGCAAAGCCAACCCTTTACATAGCGCAGTGCTAGCTGGGTCTGGCTTTGTAACAGCTATAAATTCATTAACAATCAATCTGATAGATCACATCCAGAATCAGCTGAATGTCAAGAGCTGCTTCATCAACTTAGATAATTAATCTCAAATGACAAAATACACCAATCTTCAATTTTATCTGAAGCTTAGAATTCAAATTAAAAAAAAGTAACAAAATATAAATTCATCCTTCTTCACAATTTTTGAAACAGAAGAGATACATAATGTAAACTAGCATTGCCAAAATTGACTTTTATGTCAAATACAAATTGTATGTCAAGGTGAGTGCTGATTTACTACACAAATTGATTAGAATTCAGAATTTTGAAATCTAAAACATTTATCTTGAATCTTGATTGTTCTGAATAATGTCTTTATTGTCTAACTGTATTCTTTATAAATTAAAGTTATTTATGTATTTTGATTATATTTAAAATCATATTTCTTTTAAGAACCAGAAGTCTCTGTCAAGACTGAAGCTCTACTGGTTTGTACTTATAGCAAAGGAAGAGAAAAGTACTTAAGCAGTTGGGAATTGAAACTTTTCAACAGCAATAAATAGAATAATGATCCTTGGTTAAGTCTCTTTATGTTCTTAGTGTAGTCTACTTGCATGCCACATTATATTATAATCAGACTAAAACTGTATTTGGAGTAGCATTTTGAGAGTATTTAACAGAAATTTCTATTTTTAGTAACCATGGCAACACCGTTCATTGAAGTGAAAAACTGATACATAGAATTATATACCTTAGTTTAGTCTACTTGAGTGCCAAGTTATATTGAAATAAGACCAAAACTGTAGGAGGTGTAGCATTTTGAAAGAATTTCACAGAAATTTCCATTTCTAGTAACCACAGCAACACCGTTCATCGAAATCAAAAACGGATAAACAGAATTATGTATCTTAGTGTAGTCTACTTGTGTGCCATTGAGTTATATTGAAATCAGACCAAAACTGTAGGAGGAGTAGCATTTTGAAAGAATTTCACAGAAATTTCTATTTTTAGAACCACGGCAACACCGTTCATCAAATCAAAAACCGATAAACAGAATTATGTATCTTAGTGTAGTCTACTTGTGTGCCATTGAGTTATATTGAAATCAGACCAAAACTGTAGGAGTAGCATTTTGAAAAATTGTTTACAGACAGACAGACGGACAGCTAGACAGACGGACGGACGCATTACTATCGCATAAGCTCTTCTGGTCTCTGACCAGTAGAGCTAAAAATAAATTTAAAAACATGTCTATATTTGTGAAGTCTCAAAATTTTGAATCAAAATATTTCGAAGTACTAAATTCAATCTTTAAGCAGTGTAGCCTGAACAAAGTACTGTATTTGTGATGAATTTTTTAACAATGAAATTCCTTTAGACAAAATTCAAATTTCAAAGGTCTAATTGTGAAAAATATTTACCGATACAGTAAAACTCGGTAATAGCGAAGTCACTGGGACCTATGAAATTACTTCGTTATATCCGTAATTCGTTATATCCGTATAAGGAATTCGTTAAATTTATATAGATGGGGACCCAAGATAACTTCGCTGTATCCGTGAATTCGCAATATCCGTGTTCGTACTAAACGAGTTTTACTGTATAATTATTTTCTATGGCACTTTTAACAATGACCTTTAAAATATATTTTATTTATATCTTGAGAAATGTTCCTACCAAAAGATTTAATGAAAACTTCATGTATGTTTCAATTAAGGAAGTTGGTCAGAAATGTCACTTAGTACTCTATGTTTTTCTTCAGGACCTCTGATTAATGTGCAACTTGCATGAGACCCTTGCTTCTTTTGGAGACAATTAATTGTGATAACCTGTTTGGGATAACATGGGGAATCTCATTAGGGAGGAAAATATTGTTCCAAGGCTGTCATTCTGTGTTTGTCTTTAGTCCTAGGAGGGGTAAGCCCATGGGAATTGTAATAACCAACTCTGGACCACAGTAATCAATTTTCTGCTGAATACATCACCCTCAGAATGGAGGGTCTCTAAGAATTTTGTTGGAGAAAGCCGATAATTAAACGCTTGTCTAGTAGAATCTGACAGACTTTATGTACACTGGGTGTCATTCTTAATAATAAATACAACTTTCTCCACAAAATTTCCCCTCTGTGTGATTCAATTTAGACTTTAGCAAGATTAATAGAAAAAGTCTGAAAAAATCTTGCTCCCATTTAGTCTAAAAAGGGTAATGATTGATTAACTTTTCTTGATGTTAGCAATTTGGATAGTTTTGGATAATTTCAGTCATATCGTCCATATATAACAGAGGAGATTTTCCTAAGTGTCCTTTTAAAATAGATTGGAATTATCACTCTGGCTCTTGGAGACTCTCTGGGAATATAAATCCTGATAAACTAACATTATTGGACTGCTGATGCACTTGTATAACCTGAATTCTCTAGTCCAAAGACATCAACCACCTACTAAATGACCTTAGTTTGACATCATAAAAAAAAAATAATAATAACCCATAGCAAAGCTGTATCTATATAAGGACTGCTTGTGTTTCAATATGTACATGCTATATAATACTCTCAACTCAAATTTTTAATTGTATTCTATAGCTTAAATAAATGTATTAAATAATACTTTGATATATCTGTTAATTTGCTATACCCATGTTTGTAAAACATCTTTTACTATAACTGCTTTTAATTATTACAATTTCTAACATTTAATGTTTAAAACTTACCAGAAAGTTAAAGGAAGTTATCCTCCAACTACAGAAACTACTTGTTATAGGACAAAACATTACTGCCAAGAAGGCACTGCCAGCAAACAGATAAGTTAAAGAGGAAACCCCAGCACAGAAGCACGAAGGCCACACCGAACATTACCGAGCACACAAATCTTCCTACTCTCATTGGTGCACAGCAATTTCCAAAAATGTATTTATATTTCAAAAATTTTAAAAATTATAAAATTCAAAAACTCAAGATAATGAAACTTCTGACAGAAAAGCTCTGAGTGATAAAACATTTTATATACCAATATGCCTTCCTATATTGACCAATCACAACCATGCTTGAGTGCATTCAAAATGTCATTTTTACCCCCATCTTTTACAATTTCATTAGGAAGAAGACAGAAACCATACAATGGATTTAAAAATATCCACAGACCTGGTTAATTCACAGAACAGAAGTCTCCTTTTCTAAGGTTTCCTTAACCTTTTCTTTACATCAAATCCACTCAATATAGCAAGAAGCAAAGTAAATCCATCCCAATATTCCCTTACGTCAAAATTACGTCGTTTTAATAAATCTTTTTTAAACGTATCTTCAATTATTTCAACTCACTTTTATTGTGATGGTTTTTTTTCTGTGTTACCATCCTTTTTTTATTTTCCTTAAAGGAAAACAGACATCTTATAAATCAGTAACAATATATACAAGATGAGGAATCAAAGCATAAACAAAATGGTGCAGACTCATCTTCAAAAACATTAATCCTCTTTGTTTCCTTTTAATTGTCTTAACAGTTTCCTCTGTTCTTTGCCAGTGTAATACAATAATAAGTTTACAAGGACCACCAAAATCACCACTTTTCTTTGGACTTTATTTCCCATGAATATAAATAATGATTACAGAACCTTAAATTTATACACATGTTGTTCCATTAGTAAGATTTTGTTGTACGACAATTACTTTAATTAATACATCACTACATATCGTTTTCTTACTTTGTATGAAGCAGCAGTGTTGTTGGATTTTTTGGGCTTTGTTGTGGAGAAGAAGCTTGGCGTTCTTTTGAAGGATGCTGGGATTTCTTGGCTTCCGACTAATTGAGGTCCTCCCTGCCATCGTCTGCCTCCAAAGATCTAAAAAATAAATTTACTTAATTATAAATATTTGGAAAAATACTCCTTGTCTACAGGAAAGAAACAGGAATAAATATATAACATATCAATACTATCATACAAGTGTCATGGGCATAGGAAAGGGCAAGGTCAAAAATTGTGATGCAGGTCAAGACAATTACTGAAATGCATCAGAATATTAATATATGAAGTATGATAAAAATATCTTGATTTTTTGTTTCTCTAAAACTGAGTTTACAAACAAAATTGAGAAACTGACTTGGGGGTAAATGGGAAAACAGTACATGTACTATTGTTCACAGTTATTTTGAAAATTGAGGTCAAGGTCATAGGCAGGTCAAAGTAAATATTGAGGATGTTGAATAGATCTCACTATCAATACAGAGTTTGGTCAAAATATCTTGAAAAAAAGATTCTTTGAAATTGAGCTAAACCCAATGCAAAGTGTGACAGAAGGACAGATGATGGACATGACAAACACAATATGCCCTGGCCATATTCACAACAGAGTATGAAAAAAAAATTTTGATACCTGTCAGCTCTCCCTCAGAAACTTTTCAAAATCAAATACTTATCACAGTGGTTCCATACCAAATATTTGTTATTCAACTACTATAGATAACAAATTTCCATGACATCTTATTTTCTCAAGATAGAGAGGCAACATTTTCACAAATTTGGGTTATTGGTAGATATAAATCATACTAATGAAGTAGATGCAATAAATAAAATGTGATTTATTGTACGTAATCAAAAACGTATACAATCTTCCATCTAACATCAATCAATAGTGGGATAATATACAAGTTATACCTGCAGTTATTTTTTTATGATCTAAAGTTGCACTTGATAATTCTATTGCGTGCAGCATATTGAAAATAATATTCTATAAATTAAAGCTTCAATACCTCACAGCTGATAGGACAAACTATAGAAATGTTGACCAAATCTGTTTCTTTGTGCAATTTTTGTCTTTGGTACTCTAGCAGGTAAAATTTAAATCTTTTTAGAACTTAAAAAAATTTTTTTTTGATTATGTACTTTCAATACTAAGGTATAAGACTTGGTTTATATGATGATTTTTGTAACAGAAACACAGCAAACTTCAAGCAAAAGTCCAAATTTTTGAAGGGTCATATTGATTAAAATTTGCCATATTACCTAACTTTCAATAACCCCAATTACCTTAATCAAGCTATTTTGAATCTTTTTTCCAGACAAATACATTTATATAGGTTGCATGCAAGAAGTGTCGCACAGATTATTATCTGCAAAAGCTGGAAAACTAAAAGTCAACAGTCCATGGCATTGCCAGGATTTCTGCAAGAGTTATCTCTACTTTGGAGTACAAGTACATAATTATTCTTTTATAATAATTCACTTTACAAATGCAAACAGATTCATTTTGCATGCTATGGAATCATCCATGGGGGAAGGGGTGGGGGTGGGGGGTTGCAATGTTTGTAGATTTCAGGGCCAACACAGATTTCACAGTATTTGAAATGTAGTGCAAAAAATCATGATGTCTTGCATTTTTTGGTCTACAGTTCAACCATTTCTGCATGGAGGTATCAGTATGTTAATAAAATTAAATTCAATATATTTTTTGTGATCACGATGTTGATCAAATAATAAATTACTGCATCAAATTATTAAGCACACAAAAATCTTTGCAATAACTAAATGACCATGAACTTGTACAGAAGTAACATAAGTTAAAGCTTTCTTCAACTATTGTTTAAATATTTCTTTACAGTATGGAAGGGAATGTTTCTGTGGCAACAACTTTTCAGGAAATCTAGTAAAGGTTTCTAAGTGTACTATGCAATGTGCTGGAAACACCCTTCTGATCTGTGGTGTGTGGCAACGCACTTTGAAAAAATTACGCACTTTGAAAAAATTTTTCAAAGTGCGTTAATTTTTGGGACCAGGTTAACGCACTTTGAAAAAAAAATTTTTTTTTCAAAGTGCGTTAATATAGACCATATTAACGCACTTTGAAAAAAAAAATCTGCATGGCTTAGTCAATATTCCTACAAATCTTAAGTATGATAACTTATCATTTGAACCTGATTTGATACTTTTTGTCCCCCGCTTGCCCCGCTTGAAAAGTGGGGGATCTGAAAAAGATCCGAATTGACAAGTATGTCTTGCATTATATTTTTCTAGAGCATACACACCGAGCTGTTTCATATTAATAAACAATTAATCAAGAAATTAAAAAATAAACTCTAAACCAAAGATTCGCAGACTATTTAAGAAAAAAGCAACTAGATAAATGCGTGGACAATCGCCTCCTCGCACACATATTCACCCTAAATCTTTCAGAAAAATTGTCATGTCAAAAAAACTTACTTTGTATATCTTAGAGTTGTTCACAACTTCACAACTTTTTAAAAAACATTTACGGTTGAAATTTAATTGCAAAGGAGGATCCAGGCGCGCGGGGCGGGCCCCCCCCCCCCCCCCGTTTGAAATTGTTTGTATGTAAAATTATATGTACACTTGTTTGTATGTAAAATTATATGTACACTACCCTATTAAAAATCAATGAAAAAAATCTCTTATTTATTAGAACTTCTCAGCTTTCGGGTCGCCCCCGGACCCCCTATAAAGACCTTGCATTAGACCCAATTGGGGCTTCATTACCCCCACATGCCCCCCGTCTGCCGTTTACCCCCCCCACCCCCACCCGTTATGAAATTCCTTGATCCGCCACTAAATTGCACGTTCTATTTTAATTCCTGGTGAACTAATTAATGTGCAGTCCAAATCAGAGACGTTTTTAAGAGGGGGAAGATGAGGAATAAAATTCAATTTTCAAATTCACCTGAAAAGGTTTTGACATTCAAAAATATTGTATTTTAAATTAACAATTCCTATGAAAATATCATGTAAGTTAAATACCTGGAGGTTAACAAAGAGATTATCAGATATGGTATCAAATTAACATCGAAAAGCAGACAGGTACTTAATATAATTAAATGTAATTAATGTAATTAATATTCTGATTTTCCTGAAAATGAAAATAGATAGACTTTGAGATTTAAAAGAACAAATTTCCATTTACTACAGACTTCCTTGTACACTGCTTATACTGAATTGCTCTTTTTTTTCAAATATCATTGACACTTAAGTTTACGAGTAATAGAAATAGATACATCTGGGTGGGAATGATAAAGAGTTGAGCTGATAGACCTTAATTCAGCCAGTCTTTTCTTCGTTGTTCATTTCTTGGTTTTCTTCAATCCATCAGTTTTTAGAAAGAAACACATCAAAGTAAGGGCACCGCCAAGAGGAGCATTCCTTCCCAAAAAGCATGTTCAGTAAATCAAGGCAGCATTTGACATCGATCGCGATACAAATTACGTCAATTCCACACAGAAAAAAATAACATACACATAAAGTAATAACACACATAATCGCATCACTATATCCCATCATACGTTGCGAGGGGGTAATACTGTTGTCTATTTCTAAAATATAAGTCTAATTCCTTTTGTTTCATGAAAATTTTTTCAAAGTGCGTTAAATCTTTACATGGTGTAAAATTATGATGTACAGTCCTAACGCACTTTGAAAAATTTTTTCAAAGTGCGTTGATTTGGTCCCAAATTTAACGCACTTTGAAAAATTTTTTCAAAGTGCGTTAACCTGGTCCCAAAAATTAACGCACTTTGAAAAATTTTTTCAAAGTGCGTAATTTTTCAAAGTGCGTTGTAACAGTGGTGGCAACATGGCAATGGATATATATGCCAGAGTCTTTTGAAATGTTTATTTTAATAAATAATTATAAACTTATATGGCTTGTAGTCTGAATTTTATTTAAAGAAAAAGCAAAATTTTAAAAATACTAAATTAGATAGAGTTAAACACTCTACGTCAATCAAATTTAATTATAATCGTAATTTAACATATAGGTAAATAAGCAACATAACTAAAATAGAGCATGAAATTCCTCATCATATCCATCATTTTTTATATGAAGACTTGTGGCACTAATTAAAGCAGATTGCAATGAGAACAGGAACTCAAATGTACTAACTGGGCTTAGCTTCTGTTATTAACAAAGTACACATAGAAAATCAATTCCTTATTCAAAATATATTGAATTTGAATTTGAGCAGACCAGGAAGTAGCTTGAATTCAAGGCCGGGTAAAAGTTTGAATTCACTTTTTCTTCTGTGGAAATAACAAATAACCTGACGTGAGAGGATAACCAGAAGTCTCTGTCGAGACTGTAGCTCTACTGGTTTGTACTTATAAAAAAGGATGAGAAAAGAAGCCATTGCCATCAGACCAAAACTGTAGAAGGAGTAGCGTTTTAAAGGAATTTCGCAGACATTTCTATTTTTAGTAACAATGGCAACACTGTTCATCGAAAACAAAACCCGATGCATTATTTTATGTATCTTAGTGAAGTCTACTTGTGTGCCAAGTTATATTGAAATCAGACCAAAATTGTAGGAGGAGTTGCGTTTTAAAGGAATTTCACAGAAAATTCTATTTTTAGTAACCATTGCAACACCGTTCATCGAAATCAAAAACTGATGCCCTGTTCTATGTATCTTAGTGTACGTAGTCTACTTGTGTGCCAAGTAATATTGAAATCAGATCAAAACTGTAGAAGGAGTAGCGTTTTAAAGGAATTTCACAGAAAATTCTATTTTTAGTAACCATGGCAACACAGTTCATCAAAATCAAAAACCCATGCACTATTTTATGTATCTTAGTGTAGTCTACTTGTGTGCCAAGTAATATTGAAAACTGTAGAAGGAGTAGCGTTTTAAAGGAATTTCACAGAAAAATCTATTTTTAGTAACCATGGCAACACCATTCATCGAAATCAAAAACCGATGCACTATTTTATGTATCTTAGTGTAGTCTAATTGTGTGTCAAGTTATATTGAAATCAGATGAAAACTGTAGGAGGAGTAGCATTTCAAAGGAATTTCACAGAAAATTTTATTTTTAGTAACCATGGCAACACCGTTCATTGAAATCAAAAACCGATGCACTATTTTATGTATCTTATAGTAGTCTACTTGTGTGCCAAGTTATACTGAAATCAGACCAAAACTGTAGGAGGAGTAGCGTTTTGAAAAATTGTTTACAGACAGATGGACAAACAGCTAGACGGACGGACGACGGACACCTTACTATCGCATAAGCTCTTCTGGTCTCTGACCAGTAGAGCTAAAAATCTTGACTTGAACATCATATATGGTCTCATATAATGTAAGGGTACTAAGGAGAACAGTTATTAATCTATAGATTGGTTTTTTCAATAAGATTAATCAAAAATTTCATTAGATTTGAACAATTCAAAAATCATGTTTCAGTCGCATGATATCTCTCCACAAAATGGGTCATAACAATGGTGATCATGAGGAAATCCACTTTTCCTGCAACATTTCCGCATTTACGTAAGAGAATCCCAGAATTCTAAACGCGGTCAGGGCATTCTAAATTTCCCTTAGCCGCTGACAAAGAGATGCCTTAACTATGTCGTTTACGATTTTGCGGTGTCATTTTTGATAAATTAGTCGAGTCGTGTTGGCTTCTTCGGACTGAGTTTATGTCAAATCTATAAAATTACCATACCGACTGTAAATTTATTCATATGAAACCAAAGACATAACACTCTTGTACAGTTGCAGGGCACAGTGTGCTAAAAGTTATTACTTTCATTAATAAATTGATAGAAACTGCACATCAAAAAAGAATAGACTGGCTTATCCCAGTTAATATGACAATAAAGCAGGCCTTAATCTCTCACAAATACTGTTATTGATGCATAGGCTGACGAATATCTTACACAACCTAATTTTTTGTGTGTGTGCTTTATGTCTTAACAGGATTACAATACAAATTTCAATGAATTAATCATCACTTTCTTTAAAATTGGGCACTTTTCTTAATTTTTTTCTAGTACTGAAAAAAATTTAATCATGAACAGCTTAGATTATATACTATTCATATGTTATAAATTAAAATATTTACATTTGCAAATATCTTTCTTAGATGAACCTATTTTTTTTTTGACGAGAAAATATGTTCAATTCTGTGTGCATGTTATTTGGGGGTCAGAGGTCATAGCGCGACCGAATCACCGAGCGAGGTGATATAATGTCTACATATTTCTGTCACGATGCAACTTGTTTGGGAATATTTCTAAGTTAATAACGATGAAAAGGGTAAAATGATAACCAATATGGATATTTTTCAACCACGAGATGTACAATAAATCTTCTTTTGATGTGAATAATGTTTTGAATACTATAATTAGCCTAAAACCACAGTTACCTTTTTATGCCGAAATTCCTTTGGAGTTATGTAAACTAAAACAGTTGATACCACCGCTTTTGACTTCAAATATTGTAAGAACTTATGAAATAGTTAGATTATTCTCAGCAGCGATCATTATTCTTTCACTGTATATAGATATTTCCTGAACTGGAGTGCTAAACATGAATGTAAACATTCAAATGCTGGAGCGAGGTAAACTAACTTTGACCAAACAACTTCTAGGTCATTGTGCGTCACAACATAGCAATACGGCGGCCTGTTAGTGTAATAAATGCATTTTTACTTGAAATTTATTTGCATCTCAAATGTAAATATAAGTAATAAACAACAATGTTAAAAAGTTTTCTGGGAAATGAACTTTTAGTTGGTACGTGGACAAATCTATTGAGAAGCCCTTCGGGCTTCACAGGATTTGATCATGTGACCAACTAAAAGTTCATTTCCCAGAGAACTTTTTAACATTGTTGTCTATTTCTTAAATATACCTTGCAGAATTCACTTTAATTAAATACATGCTTTAAATACATGTATTAAACTATAATTATCTATAAATGACCATACAATCTTTACTCCCACTATATTGATTCCCTTATTTGTGGCATCACCCTAGCTCCAAGGGCTTATGATTTCAGAAAATTTGAATCCACACAACATGGGAATGCTGTAATATGATTTATACAGCCGTGTTCAGGAGATTTTTTTTTTCTGCATTATGAGAAATTTGAATCTTAATTTTATCTCAACTATAACCTCTTGGCATAAAAAAAATCTAAAATTCCTCTTCTGAGAATGTTTGCATATCAATACAATTTAGTGTGGCTATAAACTACCCCGTTATTCTTGTAAAGAATTCAACTGCATTATGCTTGATTACTTCAAATGGATTTCCATAAAAGTTATTACTGTCATTTTTTTTTCAAAGCAGGAAGTGATTTGAGAATTTAATAATTTCATTTGCTTCAGTGCAGTTTGTAGATGTCATTTAGCACTAAAAATCTTATACATTATGTATAATCTGTTTTTTTTTTTTAAATCAATTATTTTTTATCATTAAATACAAGAATGGTAGTACAATATTCTTTAACCTTGAAGCAGGGTAAATAAATTTAAATGCATTGTAGTCTCTGAAATATCAATGAATGAAAGTGTTGGATTTTAGTCTTTCCATATTGTATTTTTAACTTAATATTTTAAATCTTCATATATATCATTTTTTTTTTCCTCAGTCCAAACATGTCCAAGATAATGGGTACATGCAATATCAAGCTTTCAAAACATTGCCCACATTGAATTGATATAACACTTTACACTAGTTTTAAGTGATCTAAAGGCCCATGGTTTGACATATGAAATGAAATTCTCTCATAAATACTGAATACTATGTAAGGATAAAAATTTTGAAGTCAAATGCATAATTTTTACTATTTCATTCACCATTTATTCACTACCATATATTATTCCCATATGTCAATCTGATCAATAAAAATTCCACACAGCTGCGGTTCCATTCATCCTATATTGGTAAACAATATTTCCTGGATATCTCATTACATACAATTTTTCCTCTTATAATGAAGCACTTAATTCGTAAACATTGGGAGTTGACCCATTCAGTGATCAAAATACCGTAAGTGAAAACAAACAGCCCATGTTGCACACTTCCCGAAAGGAAAGCCTGGTACAAATTAGATCACCCAGGGGAAGTCTGATGGTCCAAAGTGATCAACTCATTTGATAAAATTTGATTATCAATGTTACTATCACGATATATTATTTCAATATTAAATCTTTGAATATCAATCTTCAACAATCCCAATATTAACTTCAAGTTATTTCATATAATTACACTAGTTTTGGATATTAATCTTTTGATAAAGTCATTTGTACACACTTGCCCATTTCTATAAAACGGTGTTTTTAACGCATATTTCTGCGTATTTTACACATAAAAAATACTTTTTACCCTCTAAAACATCACCTAAAGGGTCAACAGGACGCAAAAAAAAAATACATATATAAAAACGAATTCTAAAAATCCAGTTCAATATTGATGCCTTCATAGAAGAATATATTTTACATGTTAAATTTACATTCTGGAAAACTTTCTAGGAATTAATCAATTATTTTAGTTTAATTTCAAAGTGGCAGTGATTGAAATCGGCATTTCCACATCAACAATCTATAAAATTCTTTTGTACAATCTATCAAATTCTTAACAAAACCGGAAGTGCAGATAAAAAAATGGCACTTCAGCATGTTCAGTCTTACAAAGGCATATTTATATCAGCTTGGCTTTGTCAAAAAGGCTAATAATGGTAATATAAAGGTGAGCAAAGTTGAAATCATCAATAAACAGTTTTGAAAAACATTCAAACCACTTTCAATTGTTTTCTTTTAATTGAGATATTCATGAAATCCTAATGATGGAATCGGTAAAATTTGACCTGTTGACAGTGTACCGGTAAATAAAAGAAGTATATCAATTATAGTTTACTTTCATTTTTTTAAAATTTTAAACACCATATTATGATTTTAGAGGGCAGAGCTAATATAAGAACTGAAAGCAAAACCAGAATATATTTTTTTACTCTCAAAAGTTTACTTCAAAGGGTCATAATGACCCTTGGTTTTAAAAGTTAGCAGAAACACTGATAAAATACAATATGCAAGTAGACAGATAAACCATATAGGTATTTGGAAAATAAGTAAAATTTCTACGAGACTATATTGACAGTCATAGAAATTACATACTTTTGAACTTCAGTATCTAGAACACCAATATCTTGAATACAATGGATATTAGGTAATTTTGACTCCTTATTCAAGTCTGGATATCTCTAATTCTTGGATATCTCAGTCCCACTGAGTTTGAGATAATGAGGTTTGACTACATATCCAGCTTCCTCATTTTTTCCACTTTCCCCAGTACAAAATCATGGCCTCCCTACCTTAATGGCTTCAGCCGGAGTAGGTCCCTGGCATTTCTCTCCTTCATAAAACAACTGCAGATACTGAAACTTCAGATGCTGAATCCGTTTGTCTGTCTGCCACCTCATCTTCTGAAACGCATTGATGATCTTCCTAAGTCCTGTTAGCCAGATCTTGGCCATGTTATAGGGGGCCACAAAATACAGCTTCCTGTTCTCTGAATGCCCCACCCCGTACAGGAGGGATATGACGTTTTGACGGGGAGTAAGGCCGTCGATGCAGTATCTCTTGGATAGGGCTGCGATATCAATGGACTCCTCCACCCCTGAATTCACGGCCTTCACCAGACGGAGATCTATGTAGCCATCTTCTAACATGTCATCTACATCTTGTCCATTTGAATACCTGAAAGATTTTCCAGAATAATTAAATTTTGTGAGTCCTGAAAAGTCTTAGTAGAAGATTCAACCTAAATTAATATCATTTTTAAAGAGCAAAACTTAAATTTGAAGTAAATCTTGTTTTCAATCTAATTTTAATTATTATTTATTTGTGTTTTTCTAATGACAGAAAAAGAAATATCTCTAAAATTTAAGATTTTCATAGTAAACACACTATTTTTTAGGATAGTCTTAACATAAGAATTACAATTTTGATAAAGTAAAAAAATGTTTTAAAGCAGCAAATCGATTCCTGTTAATTCCGAGATATGATACACATCCTGATATATGAAACAGTTCCTTCTCACCTTGAACACAACACCTGGGAGGACGCTGACTCCGACTCTCCTCTCTGACCGTAATCAGGGTAGGACCAGGTGTTCCCCACTAGAGAGCTCCACGCTGGGCGGTGCCAGGACAGGGTGGCGTTGTCTACCTCCAGCCTCAGGTAACACATACAGGAGCGGCTGCTATCATTGTCCACGTGCACCACCGTACTGCCGTGGTGCATACATTGTAGGTAGTGCTGACTTAGATTGGCTATTTTTGGAGTGACGATCATCACTTCGTGTTCACTGAATACTGGACGAATTGGCTGGTAGGAATCTAGGTCAAGGTCATAATCACTGTCTCCATCATTCTCAAAATCAAAACTAATGCTGGATCTGTAAAAATTTTTTTCGATTATTAAAGTTAACAGTTACAGCATACATTATATTTCATTCTTTCTAGAATTTCATTTCACAGAGCATTATGAAGAGTTAAATCTTTTAAAAGTTGCTATAATACCCATAAATTCTTTTTATTGTTCTATAATAATTTTTACTCTTCTTCCGAGAATACAGAACTTGATTTAGATAACTATAATTCATGTAAGAATTTTCTCAACACAATCAAAGGGAGATTACTCAATTTACAAACCTGTTGCTGACATTGTCAACATGTTGTTTGGCGTGATAATGGAAGAGAGCAATGTCATTCAACACATGATGTGTCTGCTTCAACTTGTCCATGTTAATCAGCCCTCCTACCCCAATCCTGGTCATGAAGCGGTCTTCTCCATTGTAATCAGAAATAAACTAAAACAAACACAATGAAGACTTCAGTCGAATATGAATGAAAATTTGAAATTCAAAATTTGAATGTCAGTTTTAAAACAAATACTGTGAAATCATGAATTTTCACAGGGATTTCATTTTCCTTATTTTCAAAGCATGCAAAGACCAACAAATTCATGTTATGTAAAATTTCACATATATTACTATTCAATGCATCTTCAACAACTAATTCAAACCCTCACATACCAACAAGTTTCCCTTATCCATGAAACTTGGACCTCACAAAAATATGTGATTTGACAGTATCAAGTAGTTATACAGCTCACATACATAATATATTTTTTATTTCATTCATATAAAAATTTTCCTCACTCTACCTCTAATGATTGGTTTTCCTCTGAAGGCAAGACGATGATACTTGGCACATTGTGAAACAGAGATCTCAAATCACGAAGGAATCCCCCAAAGAAAGGCACCACTTTACAGTCTGGGATGTCCAGTGAGCGACTGACCGCCTCTCGGTATTCATCGGTCAGTTCTCGAGACATCAGAGCTGTACACAACCAGTTAAAAGTAGAGAGATCTTCATCCACCATGGACAACCAGAAAGGCTTCAACTTGTCTGACCTGAAATCATGTGGGAAAAGTTCTTCTATCAAAATGAAGACCTCTGATTTCTTTCTATTAAAGATTACTTTCTACCTTCCAGTTGAAGCAGATTGGAGTAAAATATGGAAAAAAAAAGTAAATGTTAGATAAATATTGACTTACTTGAGGCCTGCTACAATTTCCATGGTAGTGTTGAAGTTTCCTATGCACCAGCAGTAGAAGGCCAGTCTGATAATACAGGACAGAATGGCCTTACGGTCCTCATGTGTAGGCTGGGTAATAAGAAGCTGGGTCACCCAAGAACTGACCTAAAAAGACAATATATGTCAAGTAGTAAGGGAACATTAATGCATCAATAAATAATATTTTATTATGATACAACAGTGTAGCTTCGGTTTTCTGATGATTTACTTTTTTGTGAAAGTTAAAGGCTTTCCAGGTTGTTTAATTCACATTAAAGTGTCCAAACCTTCAGGCCCCAGGGAACTTGGGAAATTTAAATTCACAAATTTTGTTCATCTTACTACACAACAAAGTTGATTTAACAGTTTCAGGGGAAAAGCTAAAAATGTTTAAAAGTTTATGAATGATGGTGGATAGAAACCTAAAGCAATAGGTCACCTGGAGGACTGAATGGAACATCAACTTCATTTCTTGCACTGATGCACAAAATTTTAGCCTTAATAACTGGAGGATATTTTATTAATTCCTGAACTGACCCTAGGAGCACTACCTACCTCATTAAACCTCTGTATGAGATCCTCCACACTGGAGACTTTGTGGTAGACGAGGGACCCCCGGGAGATGTCCGTGGTCACCTGACGGATGTAGTGGGCGGGAGGAACACAGGTAAACAGAGCATGCTCAGTCTCTGTCAGTAAAAGCGCCACTTCCTCTGGGAAATGCAGCATCTTCTGAAGATTCTGGAGTTCCTGAGAGTATTTAGTTCCTCTGTCTGTAGCTGGTTTAAGTATTGGAGGCTTTCGATGAAAATCTACACTCAACCAGAAAAAAGATTAAAGTGAATATTTTACATGTTTAGAAGTCAAGACTACAAATTTCGTTCAAGAAAAATCATCTTTTTTTCTTCAACATTTTAATTAAAAAACAGAACACTGTAACATTACTGTCACTTTAAATATCATATCCAGAACTAGGTTTTACATGAAAAGCAAATTAAATACTTAATACTTCTGTCAAAAAAAAAAAGAAGTTACCAAAATCAAAACTTTCTCGACGTAAAGTCCCATTGTTAAGAAACCTCCCATCCATATCTAGCGCATCAAATAGAATAGCGGTAACAGATTTGAGGTTCTCTTGTGACGACATAGTAAGCTGCCACGGCTTAGAGCCTCGAAATTCCAGCATTAATCCATCGTGGGATTTCCCGGATCCTGTGTTCCACACCTCTAACTCTGCAATGCTCTGGGATTTCAAAAGAAGTTTGGTCTTGCTGTCCAGGAGTATTATTTTCTCATTGTTGACACCAAGTAGCCTTGCGATCTATACAAAAAGAACTTGAGATCAACTGAAGGAATTTGAAACGGCATTCTTGATCTTCCAATGAAAAAATATCATACATGAATTTGATAATCACATAATGCTGAGATCACATATTGTAAATAAACAAAAATCTTGTGATACAGTTTTACTGGTAACCCAGAAGTTGCATAACTAACAAGAATTATCACTGATTATGCATCCTTAGATGAAGTAAAAATGCTCTATGTTGATCTAACAGCTTTATTGTGTAACGGTATCATAAACTTAGATTTCATAAATTTTTGTGTCTTTATCTGGATGACCTATTACTCAATGCAATGTGCACAATGCACTCAAGCTAGTCAACGAAATATGTAGTCGGCAGATTTTGTGTGGGTTTCTAGTCATGCACTACCTTAAATATTTTATTTATTGATTACATAACTATTGAAAATACTTTTAAAATAAGAGTACCAATAAGCACAATATTTTCTTTTCTCAATATAATCCATTTCATTGTAAAATTTGCTAAACCATTTTGGATTCCTTTACATTAATTCAGAATTTTATGAATGATTGCAAGGGGTAATACTGTATAAGGAGAAATTTTAGCAAGGATTTAATTTTGGCACTTTTGACAAAGATATTAAGGTAACTGAAATTGAATATTGGTAATAATACATTCCGCAGTAAAGGTTAACGTAATCTTGTTATGAACTTAAAAATCCCTTAAATTACTTCACACTAAAATTACATACCTTTTTCTTTTAAAACAAAAAATTGCTAAATTTGCATCTGGCTATATTAAAGATTTCCACTTAATATGGTGTTTGTATATATAGGGGGATTTTTTTTTTTTTTTTTTTTTTTTTTACATCTATTTTAAACTATTTATTCTCAGAAATAGCCATCATTTGATTGCATTAGTTTGCATATAAGCTATAACTTGCAGAAACTGAAATTAATAAAACTATCATTAGGTTACAATTCTGACTTAGAGATGCAGTTATCAATACAAAATCTTGTATGCTCTCTCTTTGCAAAATATTTCATGTTTTACTACAGCTGAATTTTGCTCTTCAATAAAAGATTAAATAACAAAATTCTGGCCTTAAACACATATACATTCTTCATAAAATGTCCAGACTTGCTCACTAAAGTCTCACCTTTTTCTCTGAGTTTCCCTTTAGTAGCTCTTTGACCTGGTAATGTCTCACCTTTTTCTGCGAGTTTCACCTCAGAAACTCCTTCACCTGGTAAAGTTACACCCAAAAGCTAAAGTCTCACCTTTTTCTGTGAGTTTCCCCTCAGTAGCTCCTTGACTTGGTAAAGTTTACACCCAAAAGCTGGGAGATTCTTACAGATCTTGATGTACTGTTGCTTGAGTTTGATCTCACTGTCATAGTACGGAGCATGCCATAACTTCTTCTGCTTCTCCTGTCCGTACAAAATAACCATGTCAAAATTCATTTTTGTCATACAATATAATGTACCTGCTGCATCCCCAAGAGGAAGATATAAATAACAGGTTTTCTTTTTGATGTCATCCTTTTTCTCCCTCAAATTTTATTATTATTTGATTATTTTTTCATTTCTGAAGGAAGTATGATTCATTTCCAAAATGATTAGGTATTGATGACAATCTACAGATTGTAATCTTGCATTAAATCAATACAACATGAAATTCTGATTAAATGCAGTTATAGGATTCATAAAACATTCTTTTTCCCTTGCATATAAACTTAATGAATAGACTCTTTTGTCATTATTTCCCCCATCTCCAAAAGATTACTTTTTTCTGTGTTCGGAGGACAGATTGAATCAAATGGAGCTAGCAAATTTCATGTCTCTGATTTTCATACACTTATTCAATACAGTTTTTATGGTGAAAAGCTAATAAACCTGGAAATCACTAAATGAAAAATATAGCCCTTTAAGAAAATTGCATTCTCTTTTAGTTGCAACATAGTTAAGGGAGATAATGCTATCAGAAAAGAGGGAATCTAAAAACTATCCTTAATTAAGTCCATTTGAATGATTAGTCCATGTTCTTCCCTCTTCCAATAACATAGTAGTTCAATATCAAATATCAAAGGTAGGGCAATGTTTGCCCATTCTTAAAACTTTTTGTTACATTTCTTAGAAAGAGAGTCTCAACTTAATATAACGTTAACTTTACATACTTGTAAAATGTAGCGTATTTTCTTTGAGGTGGTGAAGTCTGGAGGTAGAAATCTCGTCAGGTCGACCTCATTATGGTTGGTCTCCTCGTGGTCACTGACACAGGTCAGCTGACGGACTAACCGCCCCTTCCGTCGACTCTGGGTGATCCTGAGAGCCCGATTGTTGCGGATCAATTCTTTCCGTCTCCGCAGGTTCTCCTGAGGATCAGCTGACTTGGACAGGTATTTGTGGGAGTCGAGGAGTTTCTTGTTAAATAGGGCGAGGTCAGACTTGGTGTAGTTTGGGAGGTTTTCCTCGGGCCACGCCTCCTCTATGTGGAGTTGTATGCTGGCCAGCGTGGCCACGTCCTCCTTAGAACATGGCAGTTCTCCTCCCACCACTAACTTTTGTAACTGAAAATGTAAAGAATTCAGATGCAAAAACTTAATGAACTTAACCATCAGAGAACTTTTTACTAATATCAATATATACTAGGAGGATATAGTCATGCTCTCTGCATCTAGCAAAAATGACATTACATGTAAAATTACTTCACTATATCTTTATTTGCTTATATCTGTATAAGGAACTTATTTTAAAATTATATAGCTGGGGATCCAAAATTAGGGGTGTGTTAGGGTGTGTGTGGGTGTGTGTTTGTCCTGGTACGAAATGGAAGTGACACAGTTTGCATTGGGATATTTTAACACACTTGTGTGTGATAGTTTGCCCTTGTGCAAAACAGAAGTAACAGAATTTGCATCACGATCAATGCTGAATGCTACCTTGATCTACAGATCTATATGTTCTTTGAAAAATGCTCTGCTTCGTTGTGCCCTTGGTAGTTTTGAGATGAATATTCCTTATAATTCTGAAGATTGAAAAAATGTGCTTTTATACAGATATAAATATTCCTACAACTTCATCTGATTTTGTCATTCTCTTGTTGCTGTCACCCCCAGACATCTTGTTTTAAACTTTATCCCAGTGTAAACAGTTTTTAAGAGCCATTATCCCATTTGATAAATAGCTAACTTGATTTTTGAAATGTGTCAACTCCTAGGGTATTGACAAAGTAATAAATTTACATACTAGATTTCTCAAGTATACCTCTCCTTTTAAACTGCGCTATGTCTTGAGAAAAATGCAGTAATAAATTGCCGTAAATCTGCAGTGATCCAAAGTTTTGATATCAATGTTAGATCTAAATCAGGTGTGTCTCTTAAGAAGCTAATAAAATCTGAAGGGGATCATAAGTCTCCCACAGCAAAGAGGGTAGGGGAAGGAGATAGGAAATGGACTGCAGACATAAACAGTCATAAAGTTTTATACAGCAATCATGTGCTAGGTTCGTGTAAATTACTACCACTTACAAGCTAAATGTTGGATAGATATTGAATCATTAATTTACATGTACTCAATAATACCAATGTTTGACTTTCCAAGTTTAAACAAAATCCTAAAGATTTTTCTTTATCACACTAAGAAATTTAATATTGTATACAAAATTTATGTTTAATAAATAAATAATGATAACAGAAGGTTATAATATCAAGCAATTTTTTTTTGGAAATATGTACTTAAAAAATTAAGATTGCAATGCTATATATAGGCAATTATAACCCTTCAGTTACAATTCATTCATATGTAATGAACAGCTAGTAGGACAACTGCCTCTAATGGTGCAAAGTAAGACCTCAGTCATTTCAAAACCAGCCTCTTGTAGAAATATCAATCAGTTTAAGTGTGAGCTCACACATGTAGTGCAATTTAATGAATTATGGGTTAACCAAACACTTGTCTTCCATTCAGCAACTCAAGTTACACTTGACATTACCAAAATGACAATGATTTTTTTTTTCACGTTGCTTACTCTTCTGTAAATAAATATTTATAGTAAAATTTTCTGAGGTCTTCAAACATTTAATTTTCTTTTCCATATTTTTCTTCTCTTTCTTTTTTTATGGATGGGGGGATTTTTTTTTTTGACATTTTGATTATTCAGTTAAAATAATTTTTCTGCTAAAATCAGAACTAAGGATTTTCTAATATCTTTTCAAAATTTTAAATGTAATGAATAGGATTCAATCCTTAAAAATTACCTGAGAATCAGCAATTCCTGTAATTTTATCCATTCTGAAAATCTATCCAAGAACACATTTTGATGTGAATATAAACAGATAAAATCCTAAATCTTTGGACCACTGAATTTTCGTCCAATAGCTCCTGTTCTTTCTACTACACAATTATAAAAAAAAAACTTTGAGAAAATTAAGAGCAAGTGCAAGGACATTCTTAATTCAATATTTCTAAATTCCAAGACCTCAAACTGTGTGTCAACGTAGATAAAAAATTAACACTTCCTTTGTAATTTGCCCATGTAGAAAAAATGTGATAATAAATTTCAGGGAAAAAATTAAATAGCTCCAATTAGTTTTTACTTGCTTTGTGCATTTCAGATTTGTGTAGGAACCCAGAAAACTCATTAATCATTTCACCACTTTGTTGAAATATCCAAATTAGGACATCTTCATCACAACAAATTAATTGACCATAAGATCTCATCAAATGATTCTTCAAGACATAAATTTCCTTTCAACACATTTTTTCAAAAATGATGAAGAAAACAGGTTTCTTTATGAAATCCAGATCACAAAAAACATGAACAGACTTTCCACAGCATATGGTGATTCTGCATCAAACAGATTTCAATCAAGTCCAGTTTCAATAGTACTACAAACACATAACAACAGTAGGCACAAGTGTCTACTGGCCGTAAAACCCCGAGTTGTAAATATCTGATATTGCATCGGAGACTACACCTTGTAAGGGAACCCCCCTTTGATATTGATCAAGGGAACCGATGGCTCATCGTAAGTACAAACAAAAGGGGGCTCCTAGTCAAGAGGGAAAGCACCATCACCTTAATAACTCCTTAATCAACAATAAGTTGACAAAGCTCTTATATTCTTTTGTTTGTTCATATTGCCTTTATCTGCTAATACGGGTTAGATGAAACTGAGTTTTCCTTCTGTCGCTCTCAGTCCTGTATTTAATAAGTTTACATGCACTAAAGCCTACCTCCTTAGATTCTTTTTGATTTTGAAGATAGTCAATATATGTCAAAATAATGGATCAATTGATATGAAATTCAAGAATAGACTTAGGGGAAATCAAAGCATATAGGGTGACTCACATAGGCCAATAATTAATATGCGCAGATGTATTTTTTCAATATTCAATATTTCCCAAGGTAAAAAATGGGACATCACCAGGGATATTTGAAGTACTCAGATGTTTAAGCTGCATAATGTACCATATCCTGATCAATTGCATTGCAAGACAAATTTATACATAAACATCTCTTTGTAAATGCCTGCCAAAATATCACTGTTACATGTATTATCTTCTACGAGATTCTACAAAGTCTCAAATAGCAGGGAAATGACTCTTTGAATTATATCCATCTTCTCAGTGTATCGGATAAACCATTCTGCCATGTACCCTATTCCAAGATCCAGAACCATGTTATACTGTGTCATATAATAGATCTGAAATCATCCAGCACAATAATTAGAAATATCAATGTACAAGAATACATGATTCTTTATATAGTCAAATACAGGGACCAACTTTTTTTTTCTTTACATACGTAATTTGCTTAAAACATCCATTTAGTTTTCAACACGTTTTAAACCCATGGGAAATAAAAAAAAAAACTTTCGCTGTAAGTGTAAATTCATTATAAGTGGGTTTGCTATAACCATATTTTACTGTACTCATGCAATCTTAAGACAGGTTATAGCAGAAAGAATATAAGATTTGTTCTCCCATATAAAGTATTTTTACCAATTAAAAAATAGCATGCATTTTCTCAATAACAGCTAGTATATTTAAAATGGGAAGTTCAGCAAAAGTACACCTCAATAATATTAACTTTAATAATAAAATTTTTCATTTTAATTTTTTAAAACTTGAAATCAAATAAAAAAAACAAAAAAAAAAACAACATTCCTGGAGGATTTTTTGTCCTTATAAAAAAGACAAAACTTCCTGAAAGAAATCCTTCCCCCTGACAATGACAGATTGCAGTGGAACTCTGGAATGTGTAGAGCCCTGCACGACTTTCCCCCATTGTATAGGGATACAATCTTTATTATATGTTATTGATCACAAAGGCTTGATTTCATCACACAATTATAACTGAACCCCTGGAATCTATACAAGAACATTGAGATTTTCTATGGAGATTTGTCAAGCTGTTGTGTCAATTACTGCCTTAGATCTAGATAAGGACACGATCACATTTCCTTTATCCTGTATTATTCCAGTTTGTTACTTATTTTTATTAGCATGTATACACTGTTTTCTTAATATCTGGGAGGAACCCAGTGTTGATAATTTTCACAAACCTCGTAAAATACATGTAGTAGAAATGATAAAGTTCTAGACATTCCTTTACAGCTATCATTTGCTTTCTGTTTTCTTTCTATTTTATTTCTCTAGGAATATTTGTAGTGGGTTTACTGACATTTAACAGATAAGTAATAAAATTTTAAGTAAAGGGAAAGAACTCCAGTAAAGTATTGTAGAAATTCGAAATGAAACTTATCTTGCACAGGCCATACTCTAAAGTTATAAGACAGCTTTGGCTGCCCTGTTTTACCACAATATTGGTTTTGCAGTCAGTCTACCTTTCTGCAACTACTCTGCACTGCTTTTCAGCCATTGGTTTTACTGTATACAGGGAAATTTTCGCTCCCGTTTTATTTTCGCTCCTTTCGCCCTTCTGTCATTTGGTCGAATTTAAAACAGATTGAAATCAAATAATACAGTATAATTTCTTTAATAAAATTATGAATGGGCAAATTTAAAATGGGGCAAAATTGTCTTCATGTGTGAAAAGGCGAAAATAACAAGGGACCAGAAAAAACCTGTAAACAGTATATGATATGCGTTACCTCCCTTTTTATACCTCCTGCCCAATTTACCAGTTTAAGAAGTTAACATCAAACCATTACTGATATTACCTGTTTTTTCAGAAAGAGAAGCAGAGGGCAACAGTCTTACTTGACTAGCAGAAGAGGAACAAAATAGTTGGAGAAAAACAAAAAAATATAAATCGTGGAAAAGCAGTATTAAACTTTTTGCGGAAAAGCTGTGTTGAATCTCAGAAAACTGAAACTTCGAGTGGTTTTACACCAGTTATAACTAAACATTAAAGTAAAAGACAAATAAGACTGAATTATTCAGGTATGTTAAGCTAGCTTATGATCAGTATATTTGCCATTGATTCTGATGGATTCTCACCTGCCCACGGCACCCCCCATACAAATAGTCAATGTCAGGTAAACAGAGTTCTCTCCTGCGACACGAGGCCTTGGCAAACTGCTGAACGAGTCTATCATAACGTCTTAGAGACACTCTCCTCACTACTTTGTAACGATAATGTGGATGATGTGTGGCAAAATAAAATTTAAGGGAGTTCACATTCCACAATGTGGAGATTACCGAGTTTAAATGTGGGTAACTGAGACCATTTGTCTGGGATGATTGGTCAAAAGTCATCTGAAGTGGAACATGGAAAAGATTCAGACCAAGGGTTAGAGTGACAGGGATGTTCACCTCAAGATAGGGAAACAAACTTTTTGTGGACAACAAGACTCCATTTCCATGTGATAAGGCTCCAAGGTGATTGCCTCCATGCAAAGTTGTTTCAAACTTGCTGCTTCTGTCTGCACTTCCAGCATTAGACATTCTGCAATAATGATGTCTTCTGTTCTTTAAGGATCTTTTTTTCTCCCCTTTACATTACATCTTCAATGCTGCATCATAAAATTTGAAAACCTTCTTGTTTTATTTCCTCACATCAATAAAGCTGATGGAACATGATGCGCAACTTCAAAAGTTCTTCTTAGACAAAAGTCTGCTGCAGCAGAACCACAAGCTCTTTTTAACTTTGATTAAAATAATTACCAGGAAACACAGATTCCATCAAAAGAGAGAAAAGAAAATTTCATCACCTCACATGAAATTATCCATCACTTAATAAATAATTCCTTTTATTTTTATTGCACATATTGCTGACCACTACACCTTTGCTTAATTTTTTCTTTTTCATAAAATAAAATTTTTCACACTGAATACGACATACACTGAATAAATTTCCACTGAAGTTTTTCACATACTAAATATCCAAAATCTGAAGATTTCAAAAGAAGAATTCACTAGACTTACAACTGATAATAAAAACTTAGGTTCAAATCCAAAATATGTTTTTGAACATACATGTTCCTCAAACAATTAGGCTAGATTTGAACAGCCTGCATCTCCCAACATAACGGTGTGTGTTTACTTTCACGCTTGACTCGATAAGCAACTCTGATGAGGCGATTTCTTTTGCGTGGGATTACCAACTTCCAGCAACAGTAATTAATCTTAACAATTAATTGCAGAACTTCTACTATAGAATACACTAAATGTTCTAGATATTCCTTAGGGCAAAGGAACTTTACCCAATTTGTGAAAAAACTTTTCTTTAAATAAAAAAAAATTAATTAAATTGAAAATTTATCCTTTTTGAAACTTTGTGAAAACTGTAATGATTTTAAATTTTTTTGTTATAAAATACACATATATAAGATGTACTTTTTTTCTTATTATCATCCCTAAAACTTTCTTTTTCCAAAATAAAAAAATAAATAAAATACAACTTATAAAAGGCATTGAAAAAGTTTGAAAATTAATGCTTCAAGAAAAATTTTGAAAAAATTTAAATCTTTTCAAAATCTGGGCATGCATTTTTGAAAACTAGATTCTAGTTGTTTATTACATTACTACAGTGCATTAATGTGTAACAAAGGTGAAGAATATAATTTATGTTTGCTCCATGCAGAATAATGTTTATTAGACCCATTAATATAAATCAGCTACTGTATTAGAGAGGACAGTTATAGTGTGATGTAAATAGCACTTAACGAAGGCCTTAGGGTTCAAAACACCTTTAAACATTACTTCACATACATACCGAGAATGAGATGGATACTCGAAATTAAATCAAGCTGAGACCAACTTGTCATATCATGCAACTATTTTCAGTGACAAGGTTTATATTTATTTATAATACTTTTATATTATAAAATACTAATTTTCAAAATCAGAAAGAGGATCTAAAATAATAATAATTAAAAAAAAGACTTAGTTATAGTTACAATTAATTTTTAACTTCATAAAAATATAAAACTAAAGTTTTCTTTTTTTAATCAATGGGGGGGGGGGGGGGGTCAAAGAATGTAGCAGGGATATTAAATACTTCTTCAAAAAGAAAAAATTGTTATATATGAAAAACAAAATAAATACAGGGAGAGCTAGGACATAAAAATACCAGGCTGAAAATGTGACCCTTTATTAACCCTAGATGACCATACAGAACTCTGTAACAGACAAGGTATGCCCCACACAGAAGGCCTGGACTGTGACATTATTATGACGTTACAGTAAACAGTCTCCTGTCTCTCAATCCATCATCCTCCTTACAATGAGCCTAGTATCTGATGACAAACATCTTATACTGGTATAGGCAGCACCTTACCAGAATCCCAATCAATTCAAATTCTCGATCTCTTTTCCTTTCTTTATATTCAGTTTGAAAATATGTTTATTTTCATAAGTACTGAATATTTTTAAAAAGAAATGCAACCACCTGAATGGATGAAAAAAATTTCACAAAAATAGTGAATAATGTCATCTATGTGAATTTTATCCATAAACCTAAACATACTCCGTCAGTGTGCAAGATAACACTCTGAGTAAAGGGCAGTAACTCTTATACACCTCAGCCTCTTCAGTTGATTATCTGTCTAGTACTTACCCTTTTATATTGAGCATGGATATTCTGTGGGTCATCTTCTTTCTCAGATCTTTGTTTGGTCGTATTCTTCTCCTAAAGAGATGATAATTTCAGTCAACCACATTATCCCATCAACATGCATACAAAAAGAAAACACACTTACTTTACTATACTGTATAAATTGAAAGAATTATTTTCATATACAATTTATACAATTTTGTACTACAGTGGCTGCAACATTATTGTTGACAAACCAATCATGTAGAATCGTTCATGTATCGTGCGTGATCGTTCGTGTTACGTGCAAGATTGTGCGTGCATCAGACTCAATCGTCTGCGGTTTTAATCATGCGCGATTGTGAGTTTAGAAACGTGTAAATTTCGTTTTGTAAGTTTTAATCGGAATCTTAATTGTTAAACAAGCATTTCATTTGTTTTTATATTTTTTAAAATCCAAATATAATGAATAAAGCGCAATTTACATAACTGAATGCAGAACGAACTAATTATCGCTCGTAAACAAGCAATATAGTAAGTCGTACAATATTATGTTCTTGTCAAATAGTGCGATCTGTATAATTTGACAAACCGTACTTAGATGTTTAACTTTTTATTTCTCTGATTTTCATTCTTGTTTACTGCTAATTGTGGTCAAGATATTTTTAAAATCAGTTCATCAAAAATAAAATGTTTTACAAATAAAAAAAAAAAAACATTTCTCAATGCTTACATGAATATTTAGTCGGCAAATAATTATACATGCACTCGACATGATTTTTGGGGGTTTGTTTATCAGTGTTTTTCTCTGTAACGTACAATGTACTTTTAATTATTTTCTTTAATTTCTGCTAATAAAAATGTGAAGTTATTGGCAAGTTCATTTTAGAGAATCACAAACATTGAATCAATGGAAATATATGGATATACATGCAACACGTAATTCAAATCATTCGATCCATGCTGCGATATTTTTTGAATCGTTTCTACCTTTCTGCATATTATGAAATCGGATTCAATCAAATTTTACGGCCCAACTACATGTGCATCTTATGACAGAGCAAAAAAAAAACCAGTTTATTAGGTTGGAGAATTTCGTATTAAAATTATAATAATTTACAATCTAAAATAATAAATAAGTCTTACATGTGGTATGTTACAGAAATATCCACTTCCGCTTTCCTTTTCAAAGTCTATGAAATTATAGTGATAATTCTTTGAAATCTATAATCAGTATCGAGTCGTATTTCGTTTTGAAAACATTGATTCCTAAATATTTTGAATTATTTTGAGTGAAGAATCGTGCGTTTGCGTTAGCAATCGTGTAAGATCATGTAATGTGTAGAATCGTTTGCGTGAAGGATCGTTCGTATAACAGGTTTAATCGTGCGTTAATCGTGCGGAATTGTTCGTGTAACGTGATGGTTCATGTAAGTTCTCAACAATAACGTTGCAGCCACTGTAGTATATTTCAAAAAAATTTCCAGTATTAACTCTGCTTTGAAATTAAATACAAAAAATTATTACATCAAACCATGTAAGCTATTTCTCAGCAAAAATAATGAATTAGTTTTAAAGTAATTATAATAATGAAGACATAAGTTGATCACTTTTAACCTAATGCATGTACTTCCTGTTACGTTTATACCTCTAGATGTAGACATGATCCAATCCGCTGGCACCAAGCTTTGTACTCCAGACCAAGAACAGAAATCTTCCGTAGGAAGTCCCTCATTTCGTGGATGATAAGGCTACTGCAGTCAAGGTCAATACTACAGACCTTGATCCAGGTCTCAATGACCTTGAGAACTCCAAAGTGAGGCTTGGGAATCTCTGGATGAGTGACCTTCAAGAATGATATAAAGGTAAGTATCTGCACTACTGCAGAAACATTTTTAGATGCCACTGCTCATCAATTAAGACAGAGAAGAATGTAACTGTTTCACCTATAATTCTTTCCATGAACCTGGCAATACTATTATTACAGACATTACCTCTCAATTAAGTCAAGTGCAGAACACTTGAGCTGCTATTACAAAGCTAGCAACATATCCTTTTTAGAGTTTGTAGCATTGAGCAACATTTGCCCAAAAGAAAGATAACAATGAAAGAAAAGCTTCCGAAGTATATGAAAATTAATTTAAATCAGAAGTTTTACTTTAAAAATAAATCATTTTTTTTTTAATTTAGGCTGGAAAACACTCTACATGTATGCATTAACAGTAATACTGGTATTGAAAGTGATGTAACTTCAAATCAACAATACAATCTTCATGGTATGAAACTGAAAATTTTGTGCAGAAAGTGTTATCTTTATCAAAAGCACAATGATTCCTAAAAAAAAAAATGTGTGAAGTATTGCATTAATGCTTTGTGACAGCAATAGAGAAGCTGAACAAATGCCTGTGTGGTACCTGCATGTTAACATTGTTGGTGTGGTATGATGGTGACCACGGTGAGGTGACTGAGGTGTTAGTGGTGATAGAGACATTGGAGGTGGTGGGGGAGGGGATGAGGAAGTTAGCGGAGGTGGTGCCCGCAGTGGATGTGATGTTCAGCTGGGACTGCTTCTCACAGACACCAGGCACCTGCTGGCCACCGTTTGGCTTGGAGCTATCAAAGGGACTGGGAAAATCAAAGATCTGGGGGCTCTGGCTAGCACTAGACATGGGGGAGGCAGGGGCCTCAAAATGCACTTCAATGTTGGCCACTTTGGAGTCAGTAATGGAATCGGAGGACTCCCCTGGGAGGAATCCAGTGTCCACTTCCGTAGGGCAGTTAGTCCAATCAGTCGTAGTAATGGTGATCACTGATGGTGAATTTGGCACTTTGGTTTTGGAAGTTTCAGGAAACACTTCTGCACTGCGCTTTTGATTGTTCAAATGCTCAGAACTGCAAGAGGAGAGTTCCGTAGGGGAGGGATCACTACATCCCGTTCTGGCTAAATTCTCCGGCACTGAACTTGAGCGCGAGAAGATGGGAGATACGTCTGTGGCAGGGGTGTCCATCACAAAGGTTGGCAAGTTAATGAGCTCTCGTTGAAATGCAACAATATCTACATCAGCTCTGGAAGGAGAATTCAAAGAGTCGTCTGAACCCATATCCATACTGTCATTATTATTGTCAGACTGAGGGGTCGACATGCTACTTTGAGATTTACACAGATGCTTTTTACTTGACCAATGAAAGAGTTTGGATTTGGCGGAATGATTGGTGTTACTTCTCTCGTGTTTATTGTCACCTGACGACTCTGGACTACTAATTGCATTGCCGCTGCTGGATTCAGATATCTGGTTAATCTGCCCACTAGAATTGGACTGCACTGGATTGGCTAAGCTCTGACCCATTGCTTTCAGAGCTAACTGGGTAGGCTTATTTTTGGACTGAAAACCATTATGTTTGACATAATCCCCTGGGCTGGATACATTTGGGGAGTCCATTTCATCGGAGGAGGAATTTTTAGCAGTTGTTATGGAAATCTTTAGGTTCGTCCTCTTTTTCTTAATCAGGTCCTTCTTCAGTTCATATTTAACACTTTCTGAATTACTTCTCGGTGGACATACTTCCTCCACTGGATTTTCGGGAGGTCGTAACTTGGTCTCTATTGTATTGTAGGAAGATTTTCGGCGTATCATATTCCCGAATAACTTGTGAGCCAGAAGTCTCAGAATTATAACAGGGTGGACAAGCATAGGCAAAGCCATTAACAACTGCTCCCTGAATGGTTTCTTGTCTATTTCTGTCAAGAACTCCATTGAACACGATGGGGAAATAAAGGGAGATAAGACTGTATTTTGACTCTGTTTGACAAGAGTGGCTAGGCTCTGTACAGAGGTAGACAGGTTTATTGTTGATGGAGAGGAGTCGGATTCATCCCCCACAGCCTCCTGAAATAATACAGAAAACTCAGTCACGATCAAGTTATAGAATATCATTACCTCCTTGTTTTACAATTATCAACATCCTTAAATAGACTGAAATTTTTAGGACAACAAATTTAAAGGGAAATATATGTCATATTAACAACAGATTTAAATTCCACCAACTATCTTTTTTTCAGGAAAAAAAAACTTCAGAATTAGATACATGTATTAGTATCATATACTGGAATTTTTAGCAAGACCCAAATTTAGAATTTTTGCCTTAGATATCAACGTTAAAATTTAGCAAGAAATAATTGGTATTTACCCAATGATAAAATGACTCTGAATTATTAATTTCTTGTTAACTCATATGGTATCAAAATCATAAAATCCTATTTTAATCTCAATGCATTTTTCCCATGATCATTGATTTTCTTCCCGACATAAAAACCAGCTATTTAATCCTACATGTATTAAATATGCATGCTCTGTTCTTAATCAGTAAATACTCCTACAGTTCCGAGAAAGTTGTCTTTCTTTGCATGTTCAATTATTTTGCCATATTCCGGAAAAAAAAAGTTTTCCAACCAACGTTTTTCAAATGGGCAGGAAAGTATATACAATTTGATTTGTTTTTTTAATTTTTTGAATTATCTAACATAATACAATCTCAACCTTAGAAATGTATTGATAAATCATATAATACACCAACAAGAAGACAATGCAGATTTATATCTATACATGTGTCTTTAAAACTTTCAACCTGTTTAAAACTTTCAACCTAAAAACTGTCTCAGACAACTTCAAACAAGAGGCCCATGGGCCACATCGCTCACCTGAGAAGCCTTGACCATCCTGTTCTTTACCAGATTTCCCTCTTGTTATACATAATGCATCCCTACCCTATCCACTGATCATAATTTAGACATTTTTAAATCTACACTACCCCAGGTTCCTCCCATGTGCACATAAGTTTCAGTTATTCTTGCCCAGTGGTTCATGAGAAGAAGATTTTCGAAGATTTTTCATATATATTTCTATGTAAAACTTTGATTCCCCATTGTGGCCCCGCCCTTCCCCCGGGGGTCATGATTTGAACAATTTAGAATCTACACTACCCCAGGATGCTTCCACATAAGTTTCAGCTTTTCTGGCCCAGTGGTTCTTGAGAAGAAGATTTTCAAAGATTTTTCATATATATTTCTATGTAAAACTTTGATTCCCCATTGTGGCCCTGCCCTTCCCCCGGGGGTCATGATTTGAACAATTTAGAATCTACACTATACCATGATGCTTCAACATAAGTTTCAGCTTTTCTGGCCCAGTGGTTCTGGAGAAGAAGATTTTCAAAGATTTTTCCTATATATTTCTATGTAAAACTTTGATTCCCCATTGTGGCCCCGCCCTTCCCCCGGGGGTCATGATTTGAACAATTTAGAATCTACACTACCCCAGGATGCTTCCACATAAGTATCAGCTTTTCTGGCCCAGTGGTTCTTGAGAAGAAGATTTTCAAAGATTTTTCCTATATATTTCTATGCAAAAATTGATTCCCCTATTGTGGCCCCGCCCTTCCCCTGGGGGTCATGATTTGAACAATTTAGAATCTACACTACCCTAGGATGCTTCCATATAAGTTTCAACTTTTCTGACCCAGTGGTTCTTAAGAAGAAGATTTTTTAATGACCCCACCCTATTTTCGTCTTATTTATCTCCCCTTGTGAGGGAACTTGGCCCTTTATTTTAACAATTTAAATTCCCCTTCACCCAAGGATGCTTTGTACTAAGTTTGGTCAAAATCAGACAAAATGTTATCAGAAAAGCTCACTTGAGCCTTCGGCTCAGGTGAGCTAAATATATATATATATATAAAAAAAGACGCTCTGAATTTTCCTATATAAACAAAACAAAGAAATATATACATGTAGTTTAAAGTACATGTACCTTACAAAATGATTGGGAAGGAGAAATTCTAACAGGTCAGTTAAAGTACATCAAATAGTTTTTTTATTGACCTTTTTTTCTCACTTAAAGAGCCTGAATATTTCTGTTAACTAAAGGAAAACATGCACTTGAAGAATCTCGTTTCAAAATATCTGTTCCAAGTTCCTATCTACATGATTCTTCAATTGCACTAAAAAAGCCTAACTGCTGAGCTTAAGCATGAGAGTATGCCAGAGCTGCTGTCTATGTCAATTAATGTCTGTCTGTGCCTATGTATGCTTACCTAACAGGCTGTTTGAATAGTTTATCTATAGTTAAAATATGTGTCAGCATTTGTATTTTTATTACATTCTTAACAAATAGATAAATAGCAAATGATGAATACTTTAATTTATAGAATAATGCCACAATTATATCATACAGTCAAATCCCATTATCTCAAACTCGAAGGGATGGGTGTAAATTTATCCTTTTCATTATAAAGACCATTCAGACCAAAATGCAATTTCTTTTTGCTTTTAAGCTTTTTTTACCTTCAAAATATGGGCAAAATAACATTTTTATTTTTTGGGAACAATTTTATTCAACATGTCGTACTGCAGCTGAATTATGGCAATGGCAATTATGTAAATCTTTTTTATAAAGAGTTGGACTTCCAATTTTGCTTCTTTATATCCAAGATTATTTAATTGATATTCATAAAAGTTTCCTTATAAAGCTTGAGTTCCTCCATTTAACAAGCTCTTTATAACCAATTAAGTTTGATTGTACATTACTATATCAAAGTCTAACAGAATTGCTTTAACATTTTAACTGTTTTTGTACTAAGTGGGAGCCAGTGGACCCACCTCGATGAGTTCCGCCACCAGCCCCTCTAGGGATGCCGCCTGTAGGTGGTGGTTCTCGTTCCACATCACCACCCTCCCGATCGCCATCAGCTCAATAAAACTGTCCTCAGGGGAGTGGACTTGGAGGTGGGAGTTGGTGTCTGTGTCCATAAACACTAAAAATACACCAATGGAAAGGTTAAACCACAGCGTTAATCAAGAATCTGTCTAAATATAGAAAGATGAAAGTGGTGTCAGTTTCAACAGCAAGTTACTTTCATGGCTGCAATGATTAAAGGGAGGAAAGTATAGATCTATGCTACAGTATATCTTCAGTTAAACTACTGAACTGTACATCAATATTAATTAAAATCAGTCCTAGATCATAACAAACACTACAATATATTTTTCAAGATATATTTCAGCAGTGTTCATGAATTTTTTAGCACAAAAATGACTAGAATTTTAAATTTACCACATATATTTCCCAATGCCATATACTAGTAACTTAATTTATAAGGATTTTTTGTTCTTTCGAGATTTATTCTATAACATATATTTATTTTTAGAGTTGGGGGAAAAAAAATTAAGTTAGACTTTTAAGGGTAAATGTGAATAGTTAACAAATACTGAGAGTAAATTCAAGTTCATAGCAGATACTGAAAATGTATTGTATTGGGCTGTGTATTTTTTTTAGCACTTTTGGCAGAAAGAAACTTTAAATCCGCTAATTCAAGTAAACGCTAAATGTCTTGCACATATACAATGTATACATAAATAAGAACATTAAGAAATGCACTAAATCAAAACTTCGCTAACTTTTCAAAAATCAAATTCCGCCAAATATAATACATTTTCAGTATGTGTAGCCTTGACCTAGAACTATGAGCTTGTGAAGACTGGATGACATATTTTTAGCTTTATAGGCTACATAGGGATATTCACATAAATATTTGATGCCTAAGTAAAGCAAATCAAAGATTGCAATCTTAGATACACTTTTTATCACAGAAAAACTTGCATAAAAAGTCTGCTGTTTTTTTTTTATTCTAAGTATATATACCCGGTATATATATATACATGTATAACTAAATGTTAATTTTATGTAAACATACTTTTTTCACTTGATTCGTCTGATTTGTTTTAATTATTTTTTTTACCTAAGTACTAAGATATATTTCGTAATCAAGATCTGATATAAAGCAGCTACAGTTAGATATCTAACACCTAATTGCTAGGTTAGCCGCTAAGTGATCTTGACTGTAACCCAGCTAAAATCTTTAAAGTACATGACAGTGTTTAAACTCATATGTTCAATAATTTCTTTGAATATGATAAAAAAAACCCTCCTGTTTCCTTGACCTAAATAGTGTAAAAATGAAGGGTTCACTCTGAAACTGTGTACATCTTAAATAATTAATACATAAAAAATACTCCATAAAAATCTACAGTTAAGTCAAAACAGAATCAATACATGGGTTATGATGACCTTGTTTGATGTAATAGGCATTGATAGGAGAGAAAATGTTAACTTTTGGAAATAAATGGATGGTGACAGTGATTACATGAAACAAATAATGCAAAATTTGTTTCTATAATACTATTACATACCGTATAAGTAGAATTTTTAGCGAGGATTTAATTTTGGCATTATTAGCTAGGGTGCTGACATCGCTAAAATTGAATATCACTAAAAATTAATTGTGTATTATTTGCAATAGCTTCTTTAGTTAGCATTTCAAAACCGCTAAGTTAACTTCTCGCTAAAAATAAAATACCAGATTTTAGGTAGAAATCTCTAAATTTGCGTCTCGCTAAAATTTCCACATATACGGTATTTAAATATGTAGGTAACTTGGAAATGAGGAGGAATGATACTACAGCTGATTCAAATTTCAGTTTTCCTCACTAGAATTTCTACAATTTGTAACAAATTTCAAAAGTAAAATTTTGGTCAACCTAACTAGTACTTCCATTCTCTACAGATGAACTTTTGTGCTTCAGAGTATTTTTCTCATATATCCTCTAATTTACATCAGTTGGCCTGTTCATACCCTATAGGTTTAAATACAATCCATTACCGCCTAGTTTCTTTGAGGCACAATTCCCTTAATGGCCCTTATAATATCTATCAAGATGACAACTGGATGGCTGCAGCAGCATATGGAACCCTTTCTACTGCCTGACCATCAGAGACAGCTTTATCTGCTTCAGTGGGGGTTAATTTGTGTCATTATGTTGTATTTATCTTTGTCCACTGCTTAAGTCCTGGCAATGACCCCAGATAAATCTACGTCCAGACACGGGGGCCATGGTCGGCATCTTTGCTGTATTGTAGCGTACTTTGATCTATGGAGGACTGTTGTGATTGGGGAATCAATGTTAATGACTCCTGGGGAATCTCGGTAGCTTTTCTATTATGCTGTGGGCCATTTTCTGTATGTTGACAAGCATTTGCTTTTTACTTATTTGATTTGTTGACCGAGTTGCATTATTCCCTTTTAGCACTCGCTTGAGTAAATTTTCTGTGATTATGTTCTGCTTTCATGTTATTTGTATACATTTATCCATACTCTAATTGTCTGTGTGATCAACAAGTTTGGAATTCAAGGATATTAATTGGAAATCAGAGGTTATTGATATCTGAATTTGCATTATATCTGGCACGTTTTAGCATCAGGAAATCTGTATATCTAAAGATCTTGAGAAGTATAGGCAATGGACAAAAAACATTCTAGCTTACATAATATAATCAACTGCATTTCAGTAAAAAAAAAAACCTTGTTTCAGAATAAAGTATATTTAATTATCATTTGAAATTCTTCAATAATAATTCAAGCATTATATTCCTTCAGCATATATTATACTATGGGTGAAAAATAAAAATAAATATTGCTGATTAAATACCTATCCGTTTGACTGGCATTAAAATCTCTGTTCATGAAATTCTAGACAACTTGGAGGTTAATTTCTATTATAGATATTCTGAAAAGGTTAGCTAGTTTATACAGCAACAATAGAGAAAAAAAATGAAAAAGCAAAAGTACTGACTGACCAGCTTAAATCAAGTTGTTTATTGGAGAAAAAAAAAAAAGCTGATTTTAATCAGATCATTCTCAAATAATCATGTCTCTTTGTAGAATGCAACAGGGAGTGAAATGTACCTACTAACTGTAAGGCAGAAACAAACTTGATGAACTCAGGGAACTGTAAATATGGTAAAATTACTTATCTAGGAAAATACTGTTTTAAATAATCATCATATTTTTTAACCTATATCAAATTTGAAAGAAATATTTAGTTGAGCCTGTAAAAATATCATAATTAGAAATGTGCATCACTCAGCATTAATCTCAATTGGTCTGTCATATATTTGTTGAGACTAGAAATCTGAAGCAAAAATACAATTTTGGTGTGGGAGGGGGTAAAATTAAGCACAAAATTTATAAATTCTACGACAAAATAGCCAAAGTAATGACCAACAAGATAACTGTTTTCCTTTAATTGGACTTTAGAGTCTCGATCTTCTACATTTGGCTACAATAACCCTGAATTCCAGACATATATGCTAGCATTATAGTTTATAACATACAGTGACAACATGCAGCCTTAGTCCCTGACAATAGTTTTACTTACACTTTCTATCAAACAGGTCCACACGACCTCCAAGTTTATGTAACAGTCCCATGTACACTAGTATTCGTGCTGCGTGGTACTTGATGTACTTGGCATACTTAGTACTATGGTTGGTGTAGTACCACTCATCAGATGGTAGTAGAAGCTGCATCAGCATGTCGGAAATGTCTGCATCGTTCAGGGACTGGTGATGGTGGGGGTTCAGGGCTATAGAGGCCAAAGCCTGCAGCAGGAGACACAGTAAGTGCTGAAAAATAAATATTGCATGTACAGTACTGATCGAAGTACATACAGTAAAAGATTAAGTTCAAAGACAGCTAGGTGCACGCAAAGAAGGTCATTAAAGTGTTAGCATTAATTAAATCAACTTAAATGTTGAATGCATAGGTTTTGCAGCAGTTGTCAATTCTAACATATTACAACCTTTCGGACTGAAAATTTTAACCTTGAATTTGAAAAACAGTCACAAGTTAGAGTCTGCATACCTCATAATTATGTGCATATCAATAACTTTGAAGGACAACTAAGAACAAGCATAAGCAAAAAAACCTGCAATTTTTTTTTTCCATCATAGAATGATATATTAATTTTTTTTTCTTTTCAATGTTTATTGATCTATTTGTACACAATAAAACTATTTTAGATGTGCATGTCTACATAAATAAATTTATATATAGTACATATGTACTGAAAGTATTAGTTTCATGACTGCTTACCGGTAAATGTATTATTATATTAGCTTAATGATGTGCTGATCAAGACAAGATACTGATAGCATGGAATGGATATACATTTGTATAGTCCCACTTTATTTAATTTATCCCACGATTTTTTTTTGATAATGGGAGAATCTGAGAGATGGAAATGGATAAATATCAAATAATATCTCCGACAAGTACATCTAAACTCTCCCCAGACCAGTAGTCTGATTATCTGACCAATCAGAGAGGAAATTTTACATCCTCTTTCTGTCCTGGAGATGACACCTGCTATATTATCAAATTAATTTTGTCCTTCCAAAAATCAATGCCATGATTGGTACTTAGACTGATAAAAAAACCTCCTCTCAGTTTCTCTATATGTGCTACACAGGCATCAAGTGTTAAATTCAATGTCTAACATCAAATTACTTTTGTTAATTAATCTCTACATTTTATACACCATCTGCTTATCGGATTTTCTTTCTTTATTGCCATTTTAATGTAAATAAGCAAATGCATCAATCATTTTAGTTCAACAGATGTTTCCTATAACACATTTGCCCCCCCCCCCCCCCCCCCCCCCAAAAAAAAAAGGAAAAAAAGAAATTCATTAAATGTTAAAACTGCAACAAACATTGATTTAAATACATCTCGATTATCTTTAAAACTTAACGAGGCCCGATCTGCTTGATCTGCGCATACGTTTTTACGCAGCGTCGACCCAGGCACATCACAATACCCTTGACTGCCGTCACAATTGAACACAATAACGTCACAATTAAAATGACGTCAAATTGCGCTAAAATGTTTCGCTGATCTTGCTTACCTGGTAATTCTACAGACTATGCATTGAAAGCTGGCATTTCTTTCTTTTTTTTTTTTAAATATTTAAATTAATAAACAACTTTGGAACCTAATTAATTTGAGGGATCAATTTTTTGGTACAGATTCATTAATTTTGTCTTGTTTCATTTCAATTTGTGAGTTTAAAAAAACAAACACTGCAACTAAAAGTAAACGATTTTAGTCTTTCTCTTTGAACATGTTGAAGTGTTTATACACACTCTTTTTTATATTGCGGACTTAAATATGCATGGATTATCTTCAATTCTAAAAAATACAATAAGTCCATAAATCATTTAAATTGAACCCCCGAAATATTTTATGTTTCTATATATAACATATTAGTAAAAATCGCAATTTTTGTCGCCTTTACCCCCCCCCCCCCCCCTCCTCCCTCTACCCCTTTTTTCCACGTAAAACAACGTTGCGTGTTAAGAGAAAAATAAAGCATGGCGAGAAAATTATTTCATAATGTAAGAATTATTTATTTTTTAGATACTAATACAGTATTGCAATCGTTTGTTGGTGTTATGTTAACCCATAGCGACCTATAAAATACGTAGTTGGATAGAATAAATCCAAATTTTGTGTTTTGACATGCCCCCTTTTCATTGCAATAAAGGCTACCTCCAATTTTCTTTTCATTTTTTATAAGAAGAATGAAAATTGCATGACATATGTGAAAAACAAAGAATTCCATCATATATTTTTTTTAATTTGTAAATTTCTTTGTTTATTGAAGAGTTTTAGTATGTAATTGTGTATAAAAACACGAAAAATGGTCCGTATATTGAGAGTACCCCCATTTCACTACAATAAAGGCAAGGTAACACAATTTCATTCTAATTTTTCTAAGCATAAAATACACAAGTATATTTCCAAAAATTAAAATTTTTTATCATTCCATTTTCGTAATTTTCAACTAGATCGGGCCTCGTTAAATAAGGAAATGAATAATATTTTTTGTTTTATAAATCTCTAGACATTCAAAAATAAGATATGTATATTTTATGAAGATTCGAAATATTGAGGGTAACATACATTAAGAAACAGCGGACTTCAGTGAGTGCAACTTACTGGATCATGGTTTGGATCTAAAGCCTCTACAAGTGTTTTAATGTGTCCATCCGCAATAATCCGGTGTTGAACATACGACCCATGGCTCATCACAACTAAAATCCGAGCACTAAGTATCTGTAAACAGTGATGCGTACAAGTCCGAAGTCGTGTACTAGGGGTGCACTTTTGTCGTGTCCCAATAATTCGCTTGTGCATGGTGATACTGTTATGTAAAATGCTTAAAATTTGACTAGGATTATAGGAAGTCAAGATTTCCAATGGGGAAAAACTAAACTGGGGAGAGAGATTAACTCTCCCCATGTCAGCACCATCATCAGTTTTATCACAGTGAGTATCGTGGTTTCCACTTTTCTGAAAGTTTGCGAAGGGCCGCTTAAATGCGGCACTAGCACCACTACCATCCTCATGCTTGGCCGCATTATTTCCCGAGTGTTTAGGACTTTTGTGTAAAGTGTCTGAACTACCTTGATCCAGGTACTCTCGTATAGTACTCTGAGAAACAGCAGAAGGAATCTCATAGTTTTTATGAACAATACACATATCAATGATCCTATTGACAATGCTAAGGGCGGTGAAATGTAACGACTGTCCGCCACGAAGAAGCTCCAAAGAAGCGGTGAGGAGTTTGGATAACTGAATGAATAACTCATATTTTTCATCTGGGTCTTGGGTCAACTGAAGCTGCTCGTAACAAGTCTGAAATAATATAGAAAATTGTGATGAAAATCTTGTATGTGAAATGAAAATTTAAGAAAACTCAAAAGTGTGTTCAAAGGTCAAAGGGAAAGATCTAAGTCCAAGTTTTTTACCCTGTGGAAAAGAGCTCACCCAAATGATTAAATTGATAAATATTTTTTGATTTGTATCTTAAGGAAAAAAGGTCAAGGTCAATGGAGACTCAACATAATACAGTGAACCTTCAGATATCCGGACGCCAGATATCCGGATGCTTCAGTATCCGGACGATTTTTCAACGGAACGAAAATTTTAAATGTTATTTTGTCTTGTTTAACTGGTGATTCAGATATCCGGATGCTTCACATATCCGGACAATTTGGCTGGGAACCAAAGTGTCCGGATAAATGAGGGTCCACTGTATAACATTTGAAATTTCAAAATATTTTGCAATGCACCTTAAAACTGAGTAAAGAGGACTCTGATGGATGGAGAGACATCTGAGGACATAAGGAAAGAAGACATACATGACAAACAGTGTATGCCTCGACCATATTCATGAAGAGGCATGGAAAATTAAAACGTTTTGATTATCCAAAGCACTCACATACTGACAGATTTATTTTCGCACAAAGTGTAAATCACCCAATAAATTTTCTGTGAAATGTGATTACTTTCCAATCCTATTGTACGGCAAAATGAAGTTAAAAATTCCCGTCAGTTGAATATTACCTGCAATATTTGATTAAGTAGTTCGTTAATGGCCTTCTCTACTGATGGATATTCGGAATTGTCTGCCAGTGTTAGCACAATTCTAATGTAATTTGTAAGTCCATCCAAAAGCGATGTTATGCACTCCTTGTTGGCTGCTAACTTCTTCAGAGCATACAGGGTCCTTTCTGCCTCTTCAAGATTCGACTTATCTGAAATTAACAAAAAAATTAGCCAATAAAAAGTCTAATAACGTCTGTAATGAAAAGACTTTTTCTTTTAAACAAGAGGCCCAAGGGCCTTAACAGTCACCTGTGTACATTACTGTAAAGGATTCGAAGAATGATAAATAATTACAATATAAAATACAGTGAAACTCAAGAAAATAGGATGACCAGGGATCATAAAAATAGTCAGTCTGGTAATTAGCAACAACTCAGAAACCACTCTCTATTATGACAGTACTAAATACCACTCATCATCAGCATTAGGACTGGCACAAAAGTGCTTCATCAGAAAATATACTACAGTGTACACATGTATATACACATAATACATTCAACATTATTTACCATACTCACCTCTCTTGGAATTTGAATAATATTTAACGTACATATTAAGTATTTCTGTCTTACATTTTATTTCATTCACTTATTAGTCTACCTTGCTATTCAAAACTAAGTAAGTAGTAGTTAGTAATTTAAAAGTACTTTTCACATTACATTTATTAAAGATTCTTGTGTCATTCTTTAATTCAGTTTACCTATTAATTGCATTACTTACATCGATTAATTATTACTATAAAGTGAATAACTCTTCCACAAGCAGAGTAAATAACCTAATACTTGATCATAAAAGAACCCAACCCTAACTCCAGGACCTGTTCCCGGAGCCACTGATATGAGAATTTTGAAACACAGACCTTTTCTAATAATAATAACTTATAAATTTGTTTCTCTGTTAAACACTAACAAACAGAGTAAGATGATTTTCAAAGAACTGCTAGGAATGCATAGCAGCATTTACAATATATTAATTGATGTAATGAGCTATGCAGCATTTTCAAAAACTGTTATATTCATGACCCCTGGGATAGTATTGTGGAGTTGCAAAAGCCCTTTAAAGGACTCATTTAAATATATTGTAAATGCTGCTATGCATTCGTAGCAGTTCTTTGAAAATCATCTTACTCTGCTTGTTAGTGTTTAACAGAGAAACAAATTTATAAGTTATTATTATTAGAAAAAGTCCGTGTTTCAAAATTCAAACAGCAGATAATGGCCACGTGACCAAGGCAATAATTCCTGGACACATGAAAGATAAAATTAACAAAATCCAAAGGAAGACCAATAGAAACATGTAAAGACACAATAGAACGAAATGAAAACTGTGGCGGGAAGCCGCCGTGAAAACCAAAGGGTGATATTGAAATGGATACGACACGACCTGATCATTACCAAACCTTGAAAGAATTAAATTGCTGATACATCATAACAATAACATATATGGCATGGAAAGAAAATTGAATCTAGGAGCATTGCTGAAAATTGCTGTATCGAAATGAAACATGCAGATATAAGTACATTGCAGCTTTCTGACACGCAGAAATTAGTACCTTCGCGGGTCTTGTCCTCTTTTGTTGCATTACGAACCCGATTCAAATTCGAGATCAATCTGTTGTATGTCATTGAAATGCCATAATGATTCTGTTAATGCAAGTCTTTCGGGTTTTAATGAGTAATAAAATTTTTAAATTTACAAGCATAGAAATTTTCTTGACATTTACTTTTATGTCCCGTTTACCGATAGCTTTTAGTACTGTAGTTAAATCCAGGGACATTCTACTGTTCTAAAACCCTTTAGTTAGGCCTAGAAGTTCGATTACACTTAGTTTTCACTATGTAAACCTTTAAAGACCCATTCTATATATATTAATATTATTAAGAAAATTACAAAAATCTAAACTGCAAGCATCCGTTTTTATAATAGAAACAGTGAACGTAACATATCATCGATTACACCGAATTAAAAAAAAAATCGTCACCTCCTTGCACATCACGAAGCAGTCAGACTACACTATTATTCATAAACTGGATGTTTTTTATATAGGCCTACTGACTCTTGAAAATTAAAAATGAACAACATAAAAGAGAAACAGTTCAAGACATCACAATTTTCAAATGTTAATAAATTATTCATCGGTTTTCATTAATTAAACTTTAAAACAATGTACCACAGGAGTCTGAATTTTTTATAGTAAAAAAAAAATCCGAAAAAAAAATCCCACCCTCAACTAAAACCCACGTGTTATTTTATTTGAGGGTAGGACATTTTTTCCGATTTTTTTTACGACAAAACCTTCAGACTCAGGATTGTGAATCTACAAATTCTTATTAAACTGCTTCGTGATCCAGGGCTAGGGGTCTGTAAAAAAAATTAAATCAATAAAATTATAATCATAATGTTAAACTTTACAAACAAATTAAAATTTACTTGTGGTGACACTGGACAGAATTTGAATTCCGAGAATTTTAAGTCTGTAACCTCGGTTAGGTTGTGACCATGGTGACCCTTACCCGGCCATTTCAGTGAGTGACTGCGTCTCCAAGATTTATGGCACTGATCCGTCGTCTGATCATACTCAGAGGGGTAGATTACATCCCTGTGGCATACCCAGGGCTCCATCAGCCCGAAAGACGCTCTCTCGTGAAACATGAACTTTTCGTTGTATTCAGATATCAGTGTGTGAATACAGAGTTAATTCAATGGAAAGAAGTAATCACGTGACTTTGTGTCGGGAAAAGGTTAAGACAACTTACGCACGTACTAGTAATCAAAGCAAAAAAGTTACTCTTCGTCAACAGCAAAATCACACAGAAGTAGTGGGATATACATACAGAGTTAAAACAATATTAGTACCTCAAATGAAAATGATTGAACGTTCACATGGAGTGTCTGGAAAAACAAATCGAACGCACTCTTTTCGTTTAAAATCCTCAAATAATCACAACAGAACAATTTTCATAAATCATCTCAAAAATTTTCCCATCAACAGATAGTTTTTTATCCAAGGACATTACTTGATGAACAGTCCTCAACACAACAAAAACATAACGCCACATCAAACACTATATTTTCTTTCTCTCTAAAATTGACGAATACGAATAACTTAATTCACAAAGGCGCCTCCATTGAGAAAATGATTAATAAATTTCTAGACACAACAATGTACCATATCATGTTGCAATAATAGTAAATGGATGTTTGGACATACATCTCCAAGATTTAAATACGAACGCTCCTTTCCTTGGGGACAAGTGGATGGCTCGATTGATATTGATTCCGTCAATGTTGTGCTATTTAGATGATTCGTCCATCTTTATTGCCCGCCAAAGGACATGATCACAAAGTCAAAATCAAAACATTGTCTGCAACTTTTAATATTTTAAAATCATTTTATTCCAGGTCTACCTAGAGATGAATGCAAAAACAATGCGGATTTGTTCTATGGTATTACTTTTTTAATAGACAGTTCCTGATCGACTTAATTACACGTAATACACGCACTTGTATCGCAGACTTGCGTGTAGTAAACGTTTGATATTTAGAACAAAATAAGAAGACATCTTCTAAAAATTGATAAATAACAAAGTATCAGTCCAGCAACCACTGAAACTACGCCATTTTTACACTTCGATGACAATTTATATTTTGTAACGATAACCTTGAACCAAACTGTTAATTGTAGTCACCAGTCATACAACACTAGTGCCCGAGTCCTCGAAGGTTTACATGCCAATGTACAAGAACACGGTGACCTGAACTTGAGCTTTTTTATTTTTTGCTCCCGGACTTAACCGGAATCGGTTTGTAGAATCTGTTTTGTTTTGCTGCTTTGAAAAAATGCAATAGCAATGGAATGCAAAATCGCACGCAACAATTGGATTTTCCTCCTTTTCAAATGAAATCGTTTTTTATTTGTGGAAGATTTTTGATAACACAATATGACGTGAATATAAATCACGCTGATATTGGAGCGTGTTTGGGTGGTTTGTTTTCTCTATGTTGCTGGATTATCAGAAGTTTCATAAAAATTATATTTACACAGCTAGACAAATTACACATCAATTTGACATCAAATACTGAAAAAGTCCTTAATTGTTTTTCACTCAGATATGGGATCGTGTTTTCTATAATACAAAATGGATTCAACGTGCTTTAAAATCGACGATTTATCAGCATTTTCTTTATTTTGAGGTATTTTAATAGCAATACATGTAATCCGTGAATTAATGAAAATATTTGCTATTCAAGAATGAACAAATATACATGTACATTGTAGCAATGTCTCCAATTCTTCCTTTTAATGATACATACATGTACATCCATGCACTGGTATTTAAAATTTATTTACCTTATACTTTTTTTGTTTTTTTTTTTTGTTTAGAGTTTCGACGAAGAACTTTGACCTGTTGCAGTTTCAAATTATAACATTGTAAACTGAGAAAAAAAGTTATGCTCTTTTGTATTTATTGATAATTCTAATAGAGAATCTCTTAAAATTTCAAACGCAGTGAGAGAGAGAGAGAGAGAGATGTATCATTTGAGAATCCCAGTTTCTTGAAAGTATTTTTAATTAAACAGTTGTGCATTCCATTACAAAGCTATTAACATTTTAAGCACTTTCTCTGGTATAAACACAAAGGGCATTACACAAACATTGCGATGTTCGCGCAAGCAATGGCGGTAAACAATGATTCTGCTTATCCGTGCCAGCTTTTTGCTACAAGACTTGAAAGAAATCATTAGGGAAATATTTTTTTTCATCTTAAGAGGCTGCAAATTTCAAAGTATTGAGCGAAACATAGAAAACAGTTCAATATTGCCAAAATCAATGAAATCTTATTTTGTTTGACAATTTTCAAATGCAACACTTCAGTGGCAAAAGCTATCAAAATTCATGCATTTTGCATTGATTGGTCATGGAAATCTGATGTAAATCTGGAAAATATATCTAGGTCACGTAAAATCGATAGCTATATTGGTAGCATTAGTATAAGAATATAGTAAGCGTTACCGGTTACTACAAAAATGACAGTTCCTAGAATGAACATTTAATTGTCATGGTAGGACCTATTATAATACGGCAGTATTTAATTGTAATAAAAAACAGCTTTTGAAATATTAACGTTCGCTTTAAAAACTATACCAA